GGTGTATCTACCACTCCTCCCAGTTTGGTGTCATCAGCAAACTTGCTGAGGGTACATTCTAACTCTTCGTCCAGGTCGTTGATGAAGAAGTTAAACAAGACTGGGCCCAGTACTGACCCCTGAGGGACACCACTTGTTACCAGCCTCCAACTAGACTCAGCGCCGCTGATGACAACCCTCTGAGTTCTGCCATTCAGCCAGTTCTCTATCCACTTCACCGACCACTCATCCAGCCCACACTTCCTCAGCTTCCCTAAGGGTTGGGAGCAAGTGAGGAAAATGAGGCTCCTATGCTTCTGCCTGGTCCTCTGAGGACCCGGAGAAGCCTTGCCTCTCGCACAGGCAAGTGGGAGCGTGCCTGGCATCATGCACATGGCTGTGACTAAGCTGGGCATCCTTCCTTCAAGTCCCTGGCCTCCAAGCGTTGGTGCTGGTGAGGAAAGCGATGGGGATGCCCGTCAAGAACAGGGATGTTCACAGTGTCTTTGGCCATTGAAAGCATCTCTGTCCCCTCTAGGTGGGTGTTTTGTTTTTTTTTTTTTCCATTTAGCAGAGGACATCCCATTGAGATGGATGTCATCCTCAGATTTCCTGCATTCTTGAAGCCATTTCCATGCTGTGGGTAGATGACTTACTGTACTGCTTAAAGACTTAGCATGGTCGGTTATTTTAATCTGCTAATAATAGTATTTATAATAGTATTTAATATACTAATAATAGTATTATTAGTATTATATATATTATTTAAAATACTAATAAAAGTATTTATATAAATGTGAATTGATACTTTCTCCCAAAGGTCCACTGGCATTTAAAAGCTAGCACTTTGTGTTTCAGTAATACTGCTAATCCTAAGCATGAAAAAATCATGGGTCAAACCATGTAAAATTATGTCTAGCTTTAAAATTGGGATTTTAGAAGAGTGTACATATCACGCTTTATTTAATGTAATATCCTCAGTCACTGAGGTCTGTCCTTTGTCACTGCAGTCATCTGCGTTTCATAACCTGGTGATTTCTTAAGTAAAACCAGTCAAGCTTCCTTTCCAAAGTAGTTGGTTTCTTCTGCTCCTTACATCCTCTTCTAGGAACATACTCCTTTGTTGGTGACCTGAAATAGTGCAATACCAGAATTGTTATTGATGATGGTTACTATCTAGGTATTCATATTTCTAGTCATGCGCCACGCTGCATCCTTGATCCCCTTAGCCGTGTTGGGTGTAAGTCCTTATTCCCTTCACCGAGGTGTCAGATCTTGCTTGAGGAGGGGCTGGGGCCCTCTTCTTGCCACTGCACAGTGGCGATGCTCCTCCTGTTCCCCAGGAAAGTAGCAGAATAGGAAGCAAAGCTGCTGTGCCCACAAGGTGAGGGAGGGTGGATGGGACAGGGTACAAAGGGGGTGCCGAAGGGAGAGGTCCCACGGGGAGGGGTGGGATCTCTGCTCCCATGCTCAGCCTCCCCCAGACCTCGCTGACACCGAATCCACACATCTCGCCAGGGTTGCAGATGCCATCGTGAAGATCTCACGGATTTCCTGTGTCAGGCACAGGAATGCTTTCCTCTGGCCGTGGCCCCCACGTTAACCAAGTTGCTTTGTTTACCCTAGATACACTTTATACTGCTCTTCAGTCGGCAGGGGAAATTAAGGCTTCAGAAATGGTATACGACGCTACCTGATAAAGAGAAGAAAAAGATCATTCGAGAAATTGTTCAGATTATTTTGTCTCGCAATCAAAAAACAAGTAGTTTTGTTGACTGGAAAGATCTCAAGCTTGTTTACAAAAGGTGTGAGTAATTTTATGAGAACATGTAATTACTATTCATGTAAGTAACACGTGCTAGAAGAGGAAAAATAAAGGCTCGCATTAAGAAAAACACCAAACAAAACCCTAAGTGCTAGATTAAGCCAGTAGGAGCCTGCGGTCGGCAGTCGAACGGTTTCTAACAGCACAGTGTCCCTGGATAAATTAGCAGGGTAAATTGTGGGGTGAAAAATACTTGCACAATCTGTCAAATAAGAAAAATGGGAGTAACCTAATAAGTATTAGTAGTTGAAATTCTGTTAGAAGGCTTTAGGCTTCACTGCTCCTTCTAATTCCCCAACGCAGCCTGCTGAGACGTCTGCTGGGCTTTATCAGGCTCTCCGGGAGGTCGCAGGAGCTGTTCTGAGGCACTTTCAACATTTAGTCAAATTTTGTTTTTGAAATATTTGTTGTTTCTGAAAGCGTTAATTCCCATTTCCTTTTCCAGACACATCCCTGTTCCAGAGTTACACAGTGCTTAGCATTAACTGCCTGTTAATTCTTGTAAAATTGTAGCAAACAAAATTAGCCTTAAGGTGTATAGCACACTGTACAAATTAAACAGCACCTCCCGTTTAGTAAAAATTGAGTTCCCCGCTGTGAAGTGGTGGATGTAAACATCTGACCAGATGCTGTGACAAGCTGGGGCTCCAGCCACCGCACCGGAGAGTTGAGGTAGATCGTTACTCCCGTCTTGGGTTGATTTAAACATAAAGTTTTGCTGCAAGTTACAAAGATTGTTTGGTCTAAGCAGTTTCATGCTTTCTGGCCCTATGTAAAACACTGCCAGTCATCTGGTAGCCAGCAGGCTTGCTGAGATGTAACACCTTCCACCTTTATTTTTGCCTTTATTTTTATTTTTCAATAAAGAGCAGTAACTCATGCTACAGTTTAATTAACCCCACTGACTGCAGTGCTATTGCAGCAGGTGAGTGAGACCTTTAAAGTACTATTGACTTACTGTTTGTTTTATTAAGACCATTGTTGGAGGTATCCCACTTTGCCAAGGGTGGAGTTTGTTTTCTTAACTAAATTAAGAAGTTGTTTAAATTATCTGATCTTTTTAAGTGTTCTCTGGGACATGACAAGAATGAAAGAAAATTATTATTTTTAAGGACAAGATAGACATTAACAGTCATTTGTATAGCTTCTAAGATATGAGCAGAGCACTGAGGATCCGGCTGTTCACTGTCACCTTTCTGCCTTTGTTTCCCTAGGTATGCTAGTTTGTATTTCTGTTGTGCAATAGAGGACCAGGATAATGAGCTCCTGACACTAGAGGTCGTTCATCGATACGTAGAGCTTCTGGACAGATACTTTGGAAATGTAGGTTTTACTTTCTGCCGTGAACTATATTCCTGACTGTCTGATAAATGAAGAGTTATCTGTAGCTGTTTTGCTTCTTGTTTTCATCTGCACCACTTGCTCCCTAACCTCTCTTAATCCAGAGTGAAATTCATTATCACAATATTTTATAAAATAGTGCTGAAACTATCGTGAGATTTTTCTTCCATCCTTTTGCCCCCCAGAAATTAATCTTAATGCTTTGTGTATCTTTCTCAGAACAGACGTCAAGGGGAAAGCTTGAGGAAAATTACTTAAACCCCCATCCCAGGGTGACGGTTCTTTAGTTCTCCCTCCTGACATCTTTAGACATACTAGTTTTGTTTGTTTCATAATACTGTGTAAGAATTAAGGACATATAAAGAGGAAAAAGATAGTGTGGGGTTTTTGAAGAAAATACCCGAAGAAGGTCCAAATAAGTCTTTCAATAAGTCTTTAAATACTACAAGAAACCCACCTTTTCTAGAAATATTCTTGAAATTGTTGCCACTACCTTAATTCATCTCTTATTTAAATCTCTGTGCCATGACTCACATTTGTACCACCTCAAAACAAAAAAGCGGTTGGTGACTGTAGGGTCACTGGGACAGGGAATTTGTCTTGCTCTGTGAAACTGTGTGTGAACATATGTAACCCATATTACAAGCGCTGTATAGGACCTATTATAAGGTTAGTAGGCTAGGAAGTCAGCTTTGTTCTCTGAAAACCAGTGTGGAAGTACTGTATCATATAAAACGTAGTAAGTGGAATATTTTTGCTGTAAATCTAGGCTATATACGTGGAGACAATAGGTGCAGAAGCTGCAGTATTACAAAATAAGCGGTATGTTTCTTCACCCTGCTACCTGCCACAAGAGTCCATATGTTGAGTCCATTTGATCATCTTAACTTTTGCCCACTAGTGCTTATAATGCTGTAAAAGTCATTTAAATGTTGGGTGTCCTTTTGTTCTGGCAGGTGTGTGAGCTGGATATTATCTTTAATTTTGAAAAAGCTTATTTTATTCTTGATGAGTTTATAATTGGTGGAGAAGTACAAGAAACTTCAAAGAGGTCTGCAGTGAAAGCCATAGAAGACTCTGACATGTTGCAGGAGGTAAGGCACAGGAAGGCAAAAGGCAAACACCACGTCTTCCTGCATCTTCCTTGTTTGACAGGAGCTTAAAATACAGCTAAACACTTCTGGTGGTTAATTATCCAAATGTGTCTTAAGTTCAGTTTCAATAGGTACAACAATGCAGTTAAGGCAGCAGTTGCATCAGCTTTCAGTGCAACCCTCTTGCATCTTGCAGTATCATCGGGAGGCTCTCTTGCAGTTGAACTGCTAGAATTTCTTGGAGATTGTATTAAGAAACAGTTTAAGACATATCTAAGATATTTATATAGTATAAATACAGAAAAATCTAATCTGTTTCACTAATATATTGGAAACAGATGATCTACTATTAACATTTAAAATTGGAAAGAGTATGTGCTGGCAAACTCCACTTTCATTCATAAATAAACACCTGTGTAGTTTTTCTGCAGGGCACAGATACGTAACCTTTATTCAGAACCCTGCAGGAATTCTCTTCTGTAACTTGTACTGTTGAGCCAGGAATTGCAAAAACAGTTGAATGTGATGGATTTACTTCATTTTTTCTTAGGTAGTGAAGGATCCATTCTAATACTAAAGGAAACAGCATGCTGGTGGAACTAGCTAGGGTTATGCTGTGCCAGTCGAACAGCTTTTCAAAGTGGTCTGGCGTTTGCACATGAAACTGGGCCAGCTATGTACAAAGGCCAGCTAGACATGATGAGTTTAGCCACAACGTGGTATGTCATGGTTTGAAGACCAGATTCTAAAAAGCCGTTAAAGGTTTTTAAAGCAGAATTATTTCTACATTGTAATTAATCTGATCTAATTCCATGCAAAACTACAACTGTCTTCAAAGAGGAAAAGAGGGTTTGTTTGAATATTACTATACCATTCCATAATGTATCAACTGTTTCTTCCTTTTTTTTTTTGTCCTCCAGACAGTGGAAGAGTACATGAACAAGCCTGCATTTTAATGTTAAAACTACCTGGAGAGGAACTGCTGTACGCACCTGTAAAATGCACTTCCTGAAATTGCTTCCCAATGTGCCAGATCCTCAGAGAAATACCAAAACCCAATAACTAAAGCGGTTTGTTTGTATAACGGTGAAGATGAAGGTCAGCTAATGTAGCAGAGGATTTAACAGTTCTGTGCTTGCGTTACTCTGCATATGAGTTTCTCAGAATTGTTATTACCCTTGATCTAGTTTCTCTTCTTGCTGGACTAAACACTTGTTTTGTATCGTGCCTTTTAACTACGGGTTTTGTCATCATAAAATGTTACTCTGACAGTACTTTGAAGAGGTATTTTTACTAGTTTTGGTCTACTGCTGACCATATGACTCTACTTTTGTACAAATGTCCATTGTTTTGAATGTAATGATTATTCTGCTCTAATAATAACTTTTTTTCTAAAAGCCAAATTGTTGTGGGCCCTGATTTCTCACAAGCTTGTTTTGAGAAGATTGACCCATCTAGTATAAGAAGAAGTATGCTTCCTTTTGGACCAGCCCCTTTCTTTCACTGTTTTGCTTTTATTTGCTGCTCTAGTCTGCTAAGACTGCTCCAGCTGCTGTTAGAGCACACTCCGGAACTCCATTTAATCTGGAGGACTGTGCTGCCTCGCGGTAGGCTGCTCCAAGGTTTAATGAAATCTTTTTGCTGCTGCATGCGGGTGGCCTGTTCCTGTCTTCCTCCTCATTTTCCTATGCCTTTCCTGGATCCCCTGCACCTGGACAAAGGCTACAACTTTTGGAAGCGTGCAACTTGAGAGCAGGAGGTATCCTGAAGAGAAGAAATTAGTCTTGGGGATTTTAGGGTGAAGACCATCTCGTGTATCTTTTGGCTCTGTATCCACCAATAACCATCTTTCCAGGTGGAGTTTTCCAGTCCCCAGTTCACACGCCTGTTGGGATCATCAGCTTTCTAGTAGTTGTACATGGCCCATTTTTGTGAAGGTTGGACAATTGAATCAACCTTTTATAACTTCATAAGCCACACAAAGGGAAAAAGGGTAAAATAGTAGAGAGGAGAAGAATCAGCTGTTCTCTGCATCTTACTGTGTCATAAAAACATTGTAGCTGCGTGTGGGGAGCCCGGTGCATTAACTCGCTTGTCTTTCTGTCAGTGCAATTTGGAGTCTATGAACTGACTGAACTGGCTTCCTTGGAGAGATTATTTCCTCCTTTAACAGAGTTCAAAGCTCAGAGAAACTCTATTGATCGTGGCCTGTGACTCATAGCTAGGTATTTTTTCTTTGTGAAATCATGAAATTATCCTATACAAAAAATAGGTAAGTTATCAGACAAATGTGCCGGAATGATCCGAGCATTGGTTTGCATTTCCCTTCAACATATATTTTCTTTGATTGCTAGGATGTACAGTCAGTATTTTCCTTCAGGGATTTTTCTCATCTTGAAATGTCCTGCATGCTGCGTCTGATTTTTTTGTTGCTGCCTTCCCAGTCTGTCTGTATCTTCCCAGGGAGGGGTTTTGAGGGGTTTTTTTTGAGGGTAGCACTTTGACAGAACATGACAACTGTGCTAATTGTCAATCCACTTTTCTGTCTATGTTATCTAGTCTGTTAGTAAAACTGTGACAAGCTGGTTCATAGCGTCATGCTGCTCTTTTTTATAATTACTTTATCCATCTGTTTTCTCTGTATTGATGTCAAAGGCATACTTTCAGCATTGAAAAAATAGTGAAATTGCTGAAGGGCTTTTAATAGCTCTGAAGACATTCAATTTAGTAGTAAGTTAATGAAATTGTATGAGTTGTGTAATATTTTCTCATGGTTTGAAATGAAGTTTTTTGGAGTGTTTAATTGATTAAGAAGCCACTTCAGAATTTGCAAAGTGGCTCTTTCCACTCTTTACTTAAGTAAGTGACTTCTATTCAGTGAAATCATCAGTAGTTTCATTTGCTTTTACTCTTTTTTTTGGAGCCTTGCTGTGATCTCTGTGACTCATAATTGTCATGTTGCTTGAATTCTGGAGTGTATCAAAATAGGAGTTCCAAAAAGAAGATTTCTTGGTATGAATAAGGATATCATAAGCCTGTCTTTTCAGTCATTCTAAGAAGAGCTGTAGGACATCTTTCTCTCTTATTTCAAGTGAAGAAGAATTGCTAATGGAAAAAAAGAATATATTAGCTAGGGGTACTTATGCCAGCCATATCAATATAGCGCCTGAAATAAATAGCATTGTCAAGTGTCAACTTGAAATGTGTGAAGGAATTAGTATGGTTTTCTTGCCTCAGTGCAAAAGGTCACTGGAATATGGTGTGCTTGTTGTGCCAGCTGCCTTTGTGCTACAAAGTTGGATAGAAAGTATGTGTTAAGCACTCTAAAGAAGTGCTGAATTATATTCATTTGCGCTCTAAGAAACTTCTACAGAATCGGGTTGCTTTTGCCTATACATGGGCTACACAGTGTAGGCAGGGGAGCGTTAATTAATGTGACTTCTGCAAGTGTCAGTCTGTATGCATACCACACTGAAGAACAGATTGGTTTGAAACATAAAACTTGTATTTATACTTCTTACAACCTTCAGTGAGAAAGGAGTCGCTCACCTGAGTGGTGTTATAATGGCATTCAGCTCAACAGCTTATAACCGCATTCAGCTGGACTCTTCCTCCAAGGGGAAGAAGCCCAAATGAAACCCAGCTATTGTCCGGTTACCTTTAGGGCACTGTGTCAAAATGCCTGTACCTCCAGCATCTTTATAGAATTCCACTGCTGTCAACAGGACTAGTGCACTGCTGGAGTATAGCTCATCAGAAGATTTGTGTCTCTCTTGATATCTTAGTTCTTTGGTTTTTCTTAAAGCAGGAGATATATATATCTTTATATATAGTCACAAATCTCTCTGAAGCATTGCCCATTTCATTTGCGTTTGCTGTCCATGTTTCTCTTTCCAACCTGCCTAACTATTCTAGGCAATGCTCAATGTAAAGTTTTCTGAGATTACTTTATGAAATTACCATTTAAAAAAGTGTTAGAAAGCAGGTTCCTTAAGAGTTTTCCCAATCTCACTAACATCTTTTGCACTTACCTAAACTCTCACCTTGCTGGCAAGCTTCAAGCACATATGCCCTAGTTTGCAAAATTGCATTTACTAAAATAACCCTTAATCATGGTCATGTTGCTGGCCTAGATTTCCTTCCTTGCTTTCGCCAGCTGCATCTAGCAAAAAGCTGCTTGATTTTCTTATTAGCACCTCTGCCTGGAGGATTTTTACTGTGATCTTACTGCTTACCAGTTGTGACAGGGCTGATTCTCTGTCATGCAACTATGTGCAACTTGTGAGTTGTGACATCTTTGAACATATTATGGCAATTAAGAAGAGAGAGACAGACATTAGACTGGGATAAAAATAAGTGTAATAATGTCAAAAGTAATATTGAAAGTATGACAGATCATCATGAGTGAGAGGCAAGAGTGGCAGGATCTCACAGGGTTCATGAATTTTTATAATTTATCATTCATTTCTGAGTGTTGTGGCTCATTAAAAGGTGTCAACTCTTACAAATAACTGTAGGAAAATTGGCATTTGGGTTGCCTTCTATCAGCCTTTGTTTAACAAAAAGCCACTGAAATTGAATCTTCAACACCTCTCCCTAGCTGCTGCTGCAAAAAAAAACCCTGAACTTTGAGAAACCCAGGTGGGAAACTTATTGTAAAGTGTAGGTGTGGTTCTGTGTCTGATTTTACGTTGGACAGAGTAATGCTGTACTTACGAAATGATGAATTACTATTTTTTTCATTTATTTTACAGTCCTTCCAATAGATAACGCATTTTTTATCCTCTGCCTAGCACTGTGCTGTGTTGGAGTAATACAGCATGCAGTAACGGTACATTAGGGGTCGGGAGGGAATGGTTTATAAGAAAAGATTAGAAGAGTTTAACAGTGTGAGTGAGGCTTTCAAAGGTACCCAGAGACATTCAGTCAACAGTGTCCTCAAAATAACAAGGCTCAATATAGTCCATAAAGAGAGAAAACTCCTATCCATGTCTGTTCATTACGTTCTGCTCTACTGCAAACGTGTTAAAAAATGAAAAAGATGTTGCTCTCACTCTACATAAATTGACTAACCCAACAGTCTCAATTCTGCAGTTAATCCCTATGGTGGGCTTTTCATTACCTGATGCCTTTATGAGCATGGAGTCTGCATCATCACTTACATCATTGTATTTTTGTTTTAGATAGCTGCCAAGAACTTGTGAGCTCATACCAGGTAAAAGCATTCTTCTGGGGAATTGTGACGACATTCTTACTAAATTCATTAGCATGCGTGTGCCTTAGTAAGATCATAGTACAAATAAACTACAGCTGATGATTTAAATGTCTGTTAGGATTTTTTGGGGAATTTTTTTCAGGCAGATAGCTGGTCTAGGTTGAAGTGTAGTAGTGAAAGCCTTTATAGCAGAAATAACGGGCTGTGCTGCAAGAGACTTAATGTTTGCTGTCATGGAAACCTGTTGCCTTGGAACATGACTAATGAGACCCAGGCTAAGGGAAAGGAAGAAGCTATTCTTGAAATTACTGTTCAGTGAACCCTAAGGAAGACCAGCAATATACATTATCATAAATTATAGTTATTTCAAGTTCCATTGCCTAGTCCACTTAACCTTATCTTTTTATTTACTTACTTAGCAGCTCTTGTAACCAGATGTTTGAACACAAAGAATGCTATAAAATAGTTCAAAGCTAATCTCTTGGCCATCTAGAAATAAATAACATCTTATTTGCACTCCTCTTTCCCAGTACACTGCAATATTTGCCCAACTTTTGTGGAAAGGACACACTGAAAACAAACTTGTGGCTGGTGTGGAATGCCCCAGTAAGCCGGGGAATAGTTAGCAGTTTAGCCAAGGATTTTTGCCAGCGGTTGTAGTTGTTCATTTTAAATACAGTCCAGGTACATGAGGTAGGGAACATTTTGGTGTACATATCCATATTGAAAAAACTGGTTACCCCTGTGTATCAATGGGTTAAGGTTGCTGCTCTCTAATGCTGAAAGGAAACTTGGTGGGGGGAACAGAATGTATCTTAAAGTTTACTTTGCCCTTCTGTCATCTTTTAAAAGGAGAATAGAAACTTGCTAAGGTCTTCTGAGTGCCAGTGGTTTTTCTTGCAAAGATGAATTTTGTGTGTCTGTTGTAAAAAACATTGCTGAATATAGAAACTCTAGTTACACAGGGTGACCAGTTCATTACAGCGTGCTGCTCTCTGGACCAGGATCTTGCATGAATAAATTGCCAACAGCTGTGTAAGTCTCCCTGCCTTGTGGAGATCACGAATTGGGGTCCTTCTGGAAGCTAACAGCGAGAAGTCAGCCTTAGCTGAGCGGAGCCCACAATGACAAATCACAGAGGAACATCTTCCCAGGAGTTTCAGGTGAAATAATGTGTTCTTTTTGAT